TAAGCATTTTTTAAGTGGACAAAAAGAACCGGATTGGTTATAATGTAAGTACAATAATGCAGAGTTATAGAGATACTAAATGGGTAATTTTTAAATTTTATATATATTTCCTTTGTAAAACCTGTTCACCCAAGTCTATTTAACAACATACATAAAGATACACATAAAAAACACACAGGGAAACATTTTTGGCACAACACCGGACCCTTCAAAAGAAGAAGAGGAAAAATGGAAATGACGTAACGGTTACGCTTACTCAAGGCGGAAGTTAGCTTCATATGTTCGTTTAGCTGCAAACTTTTGTTCGCTAGTTTACGAGCGAAATATTTACGTTTTTGAAGCAAGAACGACAGTTTCCTGGAGAGCCGAACTGTTGGTATAGAAGAAATCTGCTCAGAGATACGACACGATCGCCCAGTATGAAGTCGATATCAGCTGTCAGCGCAGACTGGTGGATATCAGCTGGAAAGCTGGAAGAAAATTACACGCGACAGGTGTGTAAGGCTGTGGTGCTCTCAGGGAAGTAGCACCGAAATCAGAGGTCTGATTTAGGTCTGCGGTTAAGCGAGCATTCAGCCGACAATTCTTTCTTGCGCTTCTACCCAGGGTTTTATGGTAGTGCGTCTTTTTTTCTTTTTTGCTGATTTCTGTGGTTGCGACCCGTGAAAGGACCAATTTACAGTAAATGTTTTTCCTGTTTGGCTATCAGGTTGATTTATGATATTGTGCATCTCAAATTTGAGTGTGTGAAAAAGAGAAAGCGGGAGAAGTGTGTGAGAGAGACTGGTTTCAGTTTTAAGGTTTCAGTTATTTTATTTTCAAGGTAATCCAAACTGCTTTCATGCTCATTTTCACTTTACATTACTACATTACTGAGAGTCTTATCGAGAGGGAAAATCAAGCATAAGTAATATTTCCGTGAGAATGATGAAAGTGAGCAAAGTCAATCGTATCATTACATCGTTTTAAAAAGTCATTAAATAATACTTGATAGCTGACATGAAATTCTCAAAAGATTCCTCTTCTGGGTCCACTACAGTACACAAAG